CAACATTTATACTGATTGGAAATGCAAGCACACGTTCTTATTCAATGCATGCATTTATGTGACCAAAGTCAAATATACATGGCCTGAATACATGACCAGCAAGCGCAACACCAACTACAATACAATACACTGCAGTTAAGGAACACGGTTTCACTTCATAGTAACATATCTATTGTAAGTTCGTTATATGGCATTTGTCGTATCTCAGTGAAGTACGTATATTGAGCTGTCCAACACAGTAAGTGAGGTTGTAAACTGTTGGGGTTTCGCGGGTTAGTTTTATGCTGTGGAATGTTGACGGAACTGTTGTTAAATTCCATCTATTTAATCACCACTTACTCCAGCACAAAGGCTGTAAACAGTAATATCTCCCTGTGTAGTGGTGTGTACAAACATTGGTTCAAAGATGACTGGGATAAAGTTGAATTTGCAAGTCATGACCCCTACATAGTGTAACCAGTGAAGGTCCGGGTTAGAATTGGTCTTTAGTAACCCATGCTTGTCATAAAAGGCGACTAACGGGATCGGGTGGTCAGGCTCGCTGACTTGGTTGACACATGTCATCGTATCCAATTGCGTAGATCGATGCCCATGCTGTCGATCACTGGATTGTCTGGTCCAGACGCGATTATTTACAGACCGCCGCCATATAGCTTGAATATTACTGAGTGCGGCGTAAAACTAAACTCACTCACATCAGCTGAGAGGTATAGTTTATTTTGCTTCTCATGATAGTTATAGTGCCAAAGAAGTGGAGTGAGTGTGCATTAACCAGGATTAGCCAGATCTTGGGGACTGAGTGGTATGCAGGATTGACATTGATACATACTGAAGGGAATCATACCCCTTACTTGATACATGTTCCTACCGCTATTGTCGAGTTTCAGTGTGGTATAACAAATATCGTTTTGGTACGAAACATTGACTTCTCACAAACCTTGAATTCAAGTATGTAAATGTGTTGTTCCTCGCCCAGATGTTATATTCTGGGATTTATGTATTGAATCGTTCGGGACTGAGTAGTATTAACCTCATGTAGCCCTGGGATACTACACTACACGTCGAGAACTTAATACTGATAACATTGACAGTATTCAATGTAACAGCATGATATATATGATGACCTCGCTATGAGACCCAGATGTGTCACTCCTGACAAAGTGTTTTTACCGGTCTGATGTTGAGCCCCGAGACGCCCCATTCCTGCCATACTGACGTGTTGTGGTGATTAGTTGCAACACAGTAATTGAAATCGTTTATAGGAGGCAACAAAGAGGTGCGGTTACCGCTTCTACCTGCAGGATACACGTCTTGATGCTTCTCTTGCTTTGACAAAATAATTATAACGCTGATATATGTGTGGGCGGTTTTGGACCTGTTTTAGCCAAAGCATTTGATATAAGGGAATCCAGTTTAGAACTGTCCTGAAATCAACGAAATGGAATATCTTCAGATCCATCCAACGAGAACACGGACGGCTGTTTCAAATTGGGGAATGACCATCAGATATCCGGTGACTTGAGAATAAAAACTGTAGAATCATGCTTCGCTGTTGAAACATTGAAATTGCCTGTGGCGAAAAATCGTTATTGCAAGATGTGGTTTCCGAAACTAAATATATACTCACAGTACATGTACAAATATGCAGTCTCCGTACAATATTAACCAAATGGCCGATCTATTATCCGTATTCATTGCGTTATCAAAATGCTGAGAAATACGTCAGCATTTCTCATACTGCAGTAGGTGCCAAGTGCTTCAACACCATGGTCTTAGACTCCCCTGCCTGCAGGTTGAAGGGCGTGGCTAGTCTGTCTCACAGTCCCTGAAACTTATTATTTTCCTACAGCCTAGCCCTCCCTGCGACGCTACAGCCATAAATGGAGCAAGTCTAGATTTCCCCAGGTACAGGATCTCTGGTCTCCCTGGGGCATTTTCAATTTAAATGGGTTTATATGTTACACCCAAAATTATATATATTGAGAGACTAAGCGTTAGTCTAGGGCGTGACAAACAACATCATGGCGAAGGATATGTGGTTGTGTGAACCTCGCCTTTAAAACACCTTCCTGAAGAAAGTGACGCAGTAAACTGTGCTATACCAGGAAGAAAGACGTTTGTAATCAGAACACCCCGACAGGCCTGCTAATAACTGTCTGTGTTGTTTAAAGGCCTGTCCATGTGGCAACGTAGTTGTCAATTTATCGTATATATGGCCTGACTTGACACAAAGCAGAACACCGGTCCTCCATGCATCAACAGGGACATGGTGTTTTAGGTACTTATCGCTAACCCTACCCACGGGACCATGTCATATTTTAGTAAGAGTCAAGACAGTAGACCAGTCTGTCTATTCTCGAAACGTTCGCACGAAACGTACGAACTTCTTAAACCAATTCTTAACACATTGGCTACGATCAAAGTTAAGAATTCTTAGGGCTACGAACGTTTCGAGAATAGGGACCCAGACCCTTTGGGGTTTTGTTCTACAATATAATATAAATATATATCTACAATATAAATAACATGGTCCTGTGTTTACAGAAACACAGGGGCGGATCTCCCACATGTATACTGTGGAGATACACTGGTCATTTGAAAGGATAAGAGATTAATGTCCGATTATTACATTTTCAACACTCATCAAGTTTTATCAAACAATGTAAAATATTGTGTACATTGACTGACCCTGAAGTCGTCGGGTAATATAACGACCCAGTTGTATTGAGATTTATATCATATGTTGTCCATCCAAACACTTTCTTTAATGCGACCTGTCGACAAGCACAGCAGCTTAAGGCATGACGTATGTTGAATCTGCATGTGTTTTCACAAGTGCAATTTTCAGCGCATCTGTTTTACAATGAAATCAATGCATACAGATGTGACCAGACAAACAGTATTCGCTAAGTTGTGTGACGAGTGATGAGTTCGATTTCGACTTTGAAACCTGCAACACTTTGTTAGTGTTGACGGTATCTTTTTAAGGTGTTCGAGCCTGCTCCGCCATTGTAACATCTCCCGATACAACATTTCTGATTCGTCCAAAGTTACATCACTCCATGGTCTCATGTCTTACGTCTTGATCGGAGATTTACTATAAACTAATTATCGGTGAATAACCGTTAGCTTATATCTTAAAGGTCATTTGCATTCTGTTACTCCCAGTTGTTATGTGCTATATCTCTTGATGTATTACCAAGCAGCGATAGCATCCGTTAACACGAAATAACAGTAATTCTCTACAATGGGTTTGTTACACTTTCCATGTTTAGAAGTAGCATTTTTACCTTACAACAGTGCGTAAACGTATCTTTGTCTCTATCAAACAATACCCAAGTGCACATTTCAACGCAAATACGGACTCAACTTTTTGAAGAATTACAGAGGTCAAAACGTCTGAAGGGTGGGTCTGCCGTTCCAGGCCTGTGATTGGCTGATACCACGGGAGTCGGAGTTTGTGTATAGTCTGGGGCGCTCTAGACGCCTGTTCTCATTTTTCTCTTCCTGTACTTTAAACATGTATACACGCTGTGTTTTCTTTCACGGAGTTCCCAGGCAGCTGCTCTGAACAAACGAGACTGTCGATGTATTTCGCAAAGGCATAAGTAGATCTGTGACAAATTACCTTGGGTTAACCTGTGGTCTGTGTGTGGCAGCCAGGGTCGGATGTCCGATTACAAGCGTGTGCCCAGGAAGCTCGATCCTAACTGATAACCTACTTGTATACCGTGGAGATACACTGGTCTTTTGAAAGGATAAGAGTTTAATGTCCAGTTTACTATAGTCTACATTTTCAACACTCAACTACTTAATCAAACAATGTAATATTGTGTACATTGACTGACCCTGAAGACGTCGGGTAATATAACGACTCAGTTGTATTGAGATTTATTTATACATACATACATACATACATACATACATACATACATACATACATACATACATACATACATACATACATACATACATACATACATACATACATACATACATACATACATACATACATACATACATACATACATACATACATACATACATACATACATACATACATACATACATACATACATACATATATATATATATATATATACTCTCATGCCTATAATGGTTGTCACCCCTCCCAAACCCCACACACACCCACACCCACACCCACACGCTCCAATAAGTTAAATTGAAGTGGGTGACAACCATTATTGGCATGAGTATATATATATATGGTGTCATCCATCCAACCGCTTTCTATAATGTCACTAGTCAATAAGCACAGCAGCCTAAGACATGGCGTGTGTTAAATCTGCATGCATCTTTAAAAGTGCAGTTTTCAGCGCATCTGTTTCATAATGAGATCAATGCATACAGATATGACTCAAAAGAAATATTCGCCAAGTTGTGTGACGAGTTGGATCTCCACCCTATAGAATCAAATACGCAGTTCCCTCTATTTCCCGTCAGTTCCACTTGTTCGTGTTGAAAGTTCTCGACTTGTGAAGTACAATGTAGAAACAGAACCCTTCTCCAGAACCCAGAACCCAGGACTCTTGCTGGAATGTTCTTCCACCAGGGTTACAACAACCAAGACGATTGCTTCAATAACGGTTTAAAGAAGTTTAAAATGGACGGGTCACTGACCAGCGTGACGTCCGATACCATTCTGTATTTTGACTTCTTACATATATCCCCAAGGTGATTTTCAGATGACAATTGCCTCGCCATTCGTGTCTTTGTGATGGGTGCCACCCGCTGGCAAGGTCACTAAGTGACATCACTATTTGATTCATATTCATAAATACAATAATCAATATACTCTGAATCGTACAATAGGACAGGAGCAAGATTATGTGAAGACTTTTTCGCTTCTATTTTCCTACATACTAAGTGTCGCTACCTCCACCGCCATATGCTCACCCATCCCCAACTCAAACCCAAACTTGATGCCCACAGTCGCCTTCACCCACCCAGCTAGTATGTTTTCCTCTCCATTGTTCCAGGTCTATGTCGGAGCCTGCTGAAGGTGGGAAACGACCAGGTCAGTAATAAAACGGCAACGGGAACGTCAGTTACAGAATGGTGGCAAGCGGCGGCTCTCCTCTACTGGTAATCACATCAACCGACATTATCTTAATTCCTTGTTACATGACTTACAATTATACCTTTCTTTCTAATTAATTATATGAACTGTTTATTGTCATGAAATGGTATTGAGATGCCCTTACTGAATGCATTTATTTTCTTCGGTTGTACAACCTATGATTAAACAAGCAAATACCAGCTATTAACAAAACGTACAAGACTATGGTGCTAAATATAAAAGATTTAGAGACCATAAAAACGCGAGAGCAGCAGTGAGTTGGAGATGGCAGGAGTGAGTGGGAGACAGCAGGGATGAGTGGGAGACAGCAGGAGTGAGTGGGAGACAGCAGGAGTGAGTGGGAGATAGCAGGAGTGAGTGGGAGATGGCAGGAGTGAGTGGGAGATGGCAGGAGTGAGTGGGAGATGGCAGAAGTATGTGGGAGATGGCAGACGGAGTGGGAGATGACAGGAGTGAGGTGAAGACGGCAGGAGTGAGTGGGAGACAGCAGGCGTGAGTGGGAGACAGCAGGAGTGAGCTGGAGATGACAGGAGTGAGTGGGAGACGACAGGAGTGAGTGGGAGATGGCAGGAGTGGGTGGAAGATGGCAGGAGTGAGTGGGAGACAGCAGAGTGAGTGGGAGACAGCAGAGTGAGTGGGAGACAGCAGAGTGAGTGGGAGACAGCAGAGTGAGTGGGAGACGGCAGGAGCGGGTGGAAGATGGCAGGAGTGGGTGGAAGATAGCAGGAGTGGGTGGGAGACAGCAGAGTGAGTGGGAGACAGCAGAGTGAGTGGGAGACGGCAGGAGCGGGTGGAAGATGGCAGGAGTGGGTGAAAGATAGCAGGAGTGGGTGGGAGACAGCAGAGTGAGTGGGAGACAGCAGAGTGGGAGATGGCAGGAGGGAGTGGAAGATAGCAGGAGTGGTGGGGAGACAGCAGAGTGAGTGGGGAGACAGCAGAGTGAGTGGGAGACGGCAGGAGCGGGTGGAAGATGGCAGGAGGAGTGGGTGGGCATAGATGGCAGGAGTGGGTGGGAGACAGCAGAGTGAGTGGGAGACAGCAGAGTGAGTGGGAGACAGCAGAGTGAGTGGGAGATGGCAGGAGTGAGTGGGAAGATAGCAGGAGTGGGTGGAAGATAGCAGAGTGAGTGGGAGACAGCAGAGTGAGTGGGAGATGGCAGGAGCGGGTGGAAGATAGCAGGAGTGGGTGGGAGACAGCAGAGTGAGTGGGAGATGGCAGGAGTGGGTGGAAGATAGCAGGAGTGAGTGGGAGACAGCAGAGTGAGTGGGAGACAGCAGAGTGAGTGGGAGATGGCAGGAGCGGGTGGAAGATGGCAGGAGTGAGTCGGAGACGGCAGGAGTGAGTGGGAGATGGCAGGAGTGGGTGGAAGATAGCAGGAGTGAGTGGGAGATGGCAGAAGCATGTGGGAGATGGCAGAAGTGAGTGGGACATAGCAGGAGTGAGCGGGAGAGAGCAGGAGCGGGTAGGAGATTGCAGGAGTGAATGGGAGACGGCAGGGGTGAGTGGGAGATAGCAAGGCTCTTGAGGATTTAGCAAGGTCTTCACGCACTTGGTAACCCGCCCTTATATTTGATAAGTTGTGCACAGGTGAAATCTGTACAAACATGGTCTCTTCGATATGCACACAGCTGAAATATGTTCCCAGTTCTTAGGTCCTAATATCATTACGCGCATATATATGGTATTGACTTTTATACCAAATGACTGGATTTCGGATTTCCATCTATCTGAGCGAACATATAAAGCACTCTGCTGTGAGCAATTAAAGTTGTTCAACACATCGGCACTAGCATATGTGCAAACTTGCTCATTGTTATTCGATATAATTCGATCAAAATATGCTTTTATCGCATGTAGGGGATGCGCATACAGATAGGTACCTTTAGTCATTGAACAGCATGGATATATTTCAAGATCGAAGCAGAGATGCATTTGAGTAAAACTTGAACCGAGCAAAGACGTCATGGTGAAGAAAGAGCGTATAATTTCGCTGAATATTCCCCCCCAATAACCATGACGAATACCTGCTCATTGTCAATATATACTGAACTTCAAAAAGAAACGCCACCTGAAGTAAAATTGCATGAAACTGTGTCATTGAAATATCTCCGTATTTGTTGTCAAAGAACGTTAACTGTAACTTTGACTCGTTAAGAAACATGTCATTTGGTGACCCAAAACAAAGCAGGTGAGTGTAAGAACCGATCACCCAAACGCATTACGGAGTGACAGTCTGGCGACGCCGTGGGGATCGTTATTCAGATGCTTGTGTTGTTGAGGGAGACTCGTGGTTTGGGGTGGAAGTAGCCTTGCGCAGAGAGTTGAGCCTGTGATATTCCAGAACATCAGTCCAGGGAGAGGCAATGGTGTCACAGCCCCTCGGTACATTGATCAAGTCTTGAGACCACGCTTCATACCTCATTTGGCACAACGTCGCCGCAATCACGAGTTTCAGCATGATGACGTCCATGCCCACACTGCGAGAGCAGCAAGAGACTTCCTCCAGCATAATGGCATCAGAACCATGCAGTGGCCTTCCTTCAGTCCCGATTTAAACCCCACTGAGCACCTGTGGGGCGAGATTCAACGACGGCTGAATGACGTGCGGCCAAGACCGACAACTGCAACCCGAAATGCATCAGTTGTTCATCAGAGTGTGGGCTTTATCAATCGCCTCATCCGTTCCACATACCGACGTTGTACGGCAGTTATCAATGCACATGGCGGACACACAAGCTACTGAATTCTGATGGCCAGAGTGTTGTTTCTTATTAAGAACATCTGACATTTTCATTCCAACCTTGATCATCATTCTTGCCAAGTTTTACTTCTTCCTATGTCTCAAAGTTTATTGAAAGTATTTGGAAAAATAAAGGTTCTAACATAACTCTCCATGGTGACGTTTCTTATGCTGTTCAGTATAAATATATAAAGAAAGTGATGAGAATACCGAGCGTACAGTAGTACATATGTAAGAAGTTCCTGAAATAATCACACGACAATGAATTATGAACTATGTGTTTTGATCATAATAATCTTATATATGTATGCATGTATGTAATTCTTCGACAGGAGCTTCGTGTCACCTGTAGAGTACAAGTGTAAGAGCCTGACAGCGGTGGGGAATTGGCATTTGTGTCAAGATCAACCTTACGCCGTGAAACCACCGTGCCTTGTGTATTCGTTTGGGTGAGTATATTGAACACACCTCATGGCATAAACATTAACCTTGCCTTTATCCCCAGATGCACAGCCCGTGCTGGATATAAGGTGTGACATAAAGTGGAGCATTATAACATCATCTAGTAGGTAAAGCGTTTGGTCCGGGTTCGGTTCCCGGCAAGGATATTGATATTGCTGGAATATTGCCTGCATCAGAGTCAAACCATACTTACGTACTTACTGACTCATTCACTCCTCTGGCCCGGGCAATATGCAACACAGAGGTAGTGAATTAGCTGGATTGAATACTAAAACCCTCTGTTACACTTCTAGTCATATCGGACTGGAGAGCTTTTAAGACAAAACAGGATGTAGTCAAATTAAAGCTTAAACTCACAACTGACATCTTTGCCATGTCGCCAGTGCCATCAAATGTATCATGGACGTCAGCAAATACACAGTCCACATTTAACACCTCAAAATGTCAATAGAGGCGTTTGTAACAAAGGCATCTTTGTTTTCCTGCTGATGAAAACCCGATACGTTACCAGGGTTCTTTGTCCCGGATGTGGTGTATGACGTAACTGCCTCCTGCAGGAATATATGGAACAGCCGCCACTGACCGCATAAACACATGTCTGCTGCTTGGCTGATTAATACGTGGTAGCCAAGCATGCCCTAAGATTGCGTTCGTTGGTTCGTTTGAAGATTACTACCATACATGCAGCTACCGATTTTCTGACCCGAGAAGATCTGGGTTAGAATTGGTCTTCAGCAACCCATGCATCCCCTGCCTATCATGTTTGGTCCAGACTCGATCATATACAGATCGACGCCATAGAGTTGGAATACTGATTAGTGCGGCGTTATACAACAGCAAACAAATCCATACAGACATGCAGACATTTTATTTTTCAGTAATGTAGGCCATTGGCCCATAATACAACATAATGCAAATATAAAGACTGACTGACTGACTGAGTTTAGTTTTACGCCGCTTTTAGCAATATTCCAGCAATATCACGACGGGGGACACCAGAAATGGGCTTAACACATTGTGCCCATGTGGGGAATCGAACCCGGGTCTTCGGCGTGACGAGCCAACGCTTTAACCACTAGGCTACCCCACCGCCCGCAAATATAAAGAATACATACATGCTGGATATAGGATAACGATTGGAATACAGGGTCAGTTAGTAGTAGTGGGCTTACTTCTTAGTTTTAATAGAGTGGAGAGGAATGTAGTTAATGGTTTTAGATAATTTATGTTGTTGCAAGTAATTAAACGCACAAAGGTTTCAATTGTGGGTGGAGGGTGGGTCTGGTGGGTTGTGAAACACTTATTTCTTATTTCAGAATATTTGTCACAGTTACGCTGGACATGGAGCTCGTCTTCAACATAGTTTAGGCCAACAGAGTGGCAGTAGAGTCAGAGATGTTGAGCATAGGGTGTATTTGTGTGACGACTGGTTGCCACTGCTAATCTAAAGTTGTTATAGCGGAACATAGCTATAACGTTCCTTTGATATGGAAGGAGGTCACAGGACAAGTTGAGTTCAACATTAAGTAGTGATTTGAATTGTGAATAATCCATACATATTCATTGTATCTTGTGAGTGAGTGAGTTTAGTTTTACGCCGCACTCAGCAATATTCCAGCTATATGGCGGCGGTCTGTAAATAATCGAGTCTGGACCAGACAATCCAGTGATCAACAGCATGAGCATCGATCTACGCAATTGGGAACCGATGACATGTGTCAACCAAGTCAGCGAGCCTGACCACCCGATCCCATTAGTCGCCTCTTACGACAAGCATGGGTTACTGAAGATCAATTCTAACCCGGATCTTCATGGGAGACAAGCATGGGTTACTGAAGATCAATTCTAACCCGGATCTTCATGGGAGACAAGCATGGGTTACTGAAGATCAATTCTAACCCGGACCTTCTCGACTGAGTCTAAGTTTTACCCCGCTTTTAGCAATATTCCAGCAATATCACGGCGGGGGACACCAGAAATGGGCTGAACACATTGTGCCCATGTGGGGAATCGAACCCGGGTCTTCGGCGTGACGAGCCAACGCTTTAACCATTAGGCTACTCCACCGCCCCGGACCTTCTCAGGTCCGATGGTATGTAGTACGGGTAACATTGGTCTCTTGATCAAAGGTTTGCGGAGGCGGATTTCGATGGCTTCCTGAAGTTATCTTTTGGTGAAATCCTGATTCTTGGTGGATACTATAACTTTGTCAAACTGTCAGAACATCCTATGTATATGTACTTCTCATCACTTGGTTGTAGACACTCTTAACATGATAACGGTGTAAGAATCCACACCGAAACGTCGCTCTCTCTCTATATATGTATACCCTGTGAGATGTCGTTACCAACTAGGATCCTAATTAACAGCGTTTTATCTGTTATTAAAAATTCGAACATAATACAATTATTTTCATTTCCATTTAAGAGCTGATAACCTAAAACTAAACCTACCCCATTGCCAAATGAGGTGTTTTACTCACAAAGCCTGTAAGTGCATGCACCTTTGGATTCAATTCATGTACTTATTACCATAAGGTATTAAATATACATTCTCCTGTGCGTAACATATATAACATGTCATTTCGCTGAACACCCAACGTACTGTACAGGGTGTTGGACACGTGGCAAGAAAGACGTTGTAAAATGTTGTACATTAGTTGCAATCGGTGCATTGATTATATTCATAATTGTTTAAATATTTCAAGCACAACAGTGCATCTGCCTATTTCTTCAAGACGACGTCTTTGATGCTGAGCGTCCATACACACATTCAGCTTTAGCAAACCCAGCAGCTCCAGGACCTGCGCTCATTTCGGTCCAGCCAACGTGGTTGTTTACATGTGTAAACTGGTCCACAGTCTCTGTGTTGTTAGAGCAGTCATAACTGCAACATGATAGCTTAACATAATTGGAGTTCACAAGAAAAGAGGCTTCGAAGTACGTTGAATCAAGTGTATTTGGAATGGCAAGTAGGCCAAACCAGCAGCTCCTCCTTATGAGCTAACCTTTATAAGAAAACAACTCTTACAAAATGGATCCTGTTGTACAATAAACTGATTAAATAAGGAGAGAGTGAGTATAGTTTTGCGCCGCTTTTAGCAATATTCCAGCAATATCACGGCGGGGGACACCAGAAATGAGCTTCACACATTGTACCCGGGTATTCGGCGTGACGAGCGTGCGCTTTAACCACTAGGCTACCAAACCGCCCCAAACTGATTAAGAAATAGAACAAATAATATATGTTCCAGCAATTAATTATGTTAATTACATCATCCCAATCTCTGTAAAGAAGTCAAAGGTTCACAAGGCTGTAAAAACCCAGACATCCGTAAACAGAAACATGAAACACAAACGAAATATCCAACAAACCAAGAGGATTAATACGGGTGATTTTAGATCGTTCAGTACACAGGTGGCAATATATTATTCTCCAGAATGTACTACCTATTACAGGTTTGTGTCCCGTTCCACAATGCTGATGATAACACCATACGTCAACGTTGGTTAGGATCGTCATAGCGTTGATATCGCTTACTGGAGCGAGGCCCTTCTGAGGAAAATGGTCTATATCAAATCGTGAGAAGTTTGAATTTTGTAAGATCAGGTTATAACATGTAAGATCAGGTTATAACATGTGTATGTGGAGAGTATAGAATCACGGCCACTGTGACCTCGATAGTTGCTGCTCGAATTACAGAAATGTCCGTGACTGACTGCCACCAATGGTGACGCGGGCTGTTCACAATATGATGTCTCGTCGGCATTCATGTCATAATATTGTTGAACGCTGACAAAGTTTTGTTTTGCTGTAACTATTAATGTGTTTCTATTTCAGAATTGCAAACGATTTCAGTTTTGACGATGCAATGGGAAAGATTGGATGTGAAGTGCACTCATTTGATCCGAGGTAAATTCATTATATTCCAATTGCAAGAATTATATATAATGTATCCAAATGCCAAACACATTGGTTAATATATTGCCATTAATTAGTCATATACTTTTGTAATGTCTCGGAGTTTTTGTTATTGTTTCTGTAACTGAAGAACACAAGCACACGTGTTCGTAACAACTGTTAATGTTGTCATTCGTGTAAATGATATGCCACCTTCTAATGTCATCTTACCATCAATCCGGTTCCGGTCTAGACATTCAAAACAGTCTCGATGAAGCTTACATAATGTTCCGATATCGACAGTACACAGTTCTGACTGTTTTTTCATGTGCCCGGCTTATATTTTTACATGCATGAAATTGGATTTGATTAAATCTGCATTATCTATTAATTCGAAAGCACATCCATGTTTTAAACAATTTCCTCCTTAAAGACAGTGTGCGCCTTATTTCAAACCCTTCTGATCGGGCATAAACTAGTTTTGTTCTGAAGTCTTAAGGAGTATATCTCTGAACAGTTGTCCATTTCTCAGCATATAACTATCCCACACAGTTGTGGGTTCATTCCCAGTATGACTACTCCCAGTTTGACTACCCGTCCAATACACAACCTGTTCCAGTCTAGTGGTTGTAATTACTAGCTCTCTCCCCTCCATCAGGAAGACAATTATAGCTGTACCAGGATCACACAATATTTATTCATCTAATTACATAGGTCATTGTGGAAGAGTTCAAGTATACACATATCCTGAGTTACATATCTGATATATCTATATACACTACAATGTAAGTGAATTAAGAAGTTATTGTGTTGTATAATATTTTGAACTATGGGCAGCACAAGCGACACGGACTTTGTAAACACTGTGATGGGTCCAATGAATCTCTGGTAGTTTAATATGGTTTAAACATATATTTATTCCGTCAAAGCAGAAAAGCCTGGATAGGCGAACGAGCTATGCTTTTATAATATAACTCATTTGGACTTTGTACTTAAAAGGTGTATTAATTCAGACTTAATATCGTCACTATATGGCTGGAATAATGCCGATGTGACATAAAACCCAACTCAACTTAACTCAACTATATAAACGCCGCTCCAGTATATTGTTCCAATAGCTGGATACATATTTGAAATAATCTGACAACAAAAGAATAATACTGAGACAAAATAACAGATAAATGATAAATAATAAATATGTTCGTTATGGTGTTGGTCTAGTAACGAAATGAGCTGCCGCAGAGAATCAAGTTATATAAAACTTGTCTTACATTGAGTATATATGTAGATATGATAATCACTGGAAGCGGTTACTTTTAGACATGAACTGATGTAATGAGTTGAGAATGTCACTATTTGTTGAGTTATTCAATGCGCCGTTACCGTATAAAGTAGTTCTAACATCGTATTGTTGAATATAAAAATACACCGTAGTGCTTCAACTTTGATAGTTCCGACATGAAAAAAGGTAGTGAATAACGACTTCGTTATAATGACCTGGTAAAAATGATTTAGAATATCTTTGCGTTTCACAGTTAATAGTTTGATTGGAAGTTGGAGGGATTATGTCCAATTTTCAAAACAAACAACCTGTACTGTAAGTTTACAAAGTTTTAATCCGAGCACAGGAGTTATCTCCAAATATCAAAACAAACAATGAATGATCACAAGATCCCCGATTCACTTGGCTTCTAATCATGACAGGTAGGCCTTTGGAGTCTCCCTTATTTCAAAGAGTAGACAAACTGTGAGTACTCCCCTATACAGGTACAGTACATTATTAAGTGTAGGGGTGCTTCATTTTATGTTTATGTTCATGAGTAGTCAAACCGGGAGTAGTCATACTGGGAGTAGTCATACTGGGAGTAGTCATACTGGGAGTAGTCAAACCGGGAGTAGTCAAACTGGGAGTAGTCAAACCGGGAGTAGTCATACTGGGAGTAGTCAAACCAGGAGTAGTCAAACCGGGAGTAGTCATACTGGGAGTAGTCAAACTGGGGGTAGTCATACTGGGGGTAGTCATACTGGGAGTAGTCATAATGGGAGTAGTCATTCTGGGAGTAGGCAAACTGGGAGTAGTCAAATCGGGAGTAGTCAAACCGGAAGTAGTCATACTGGGAGTAGTGAGTAGTCATACTGGGAGTAGTCATACTGGGAGTAGTCAAACTGGGAGTAGTCATACTGGGAGTAGTGAGTAGTCATACTGGGAGTAGTCATACTGGGAGTAGTGAGTTGTCATACTGGGAGTAGTCATACTGGGAGTAGTCATACTGGGAGTAGACAAACCGGGAGTAGTCAAACAGGGAGTAGTCATACTGGGGGTAGTCAAACGGGGAAGATACCCAATTGTGATATGACCCAATTGACTTTTGGCAACGCGGACTCGAAAATAAGATAAATTATAATTCATGTCAACTGATATGAGGTAGGCAGATTGGGCTTATCAAGACAGAGAACAGCCCGATGACAACAAACTTCCCGGTCTGTAACGAAGGTCAATTAAATGTCAAATATACCTTTCACATGCCCAGCTTGTTTTAAAACAGCTCACGAAGAAAGTTCAGACATGTGTTTTATTGGGGTTCAAGTCTTTTCAAACTGTCTAAAGTCGTATCATAAACTTTCGTATCGTAAGTCAAAGCCTATCACTGGCAGACATTGTCAACGTGCGTAGTTCAAACCACATTTATAGGCAAGAATTACGACCTTTGCCTTGCACAATTTGGCTAATGAGTAAAGACGTACCGGGACGGATGGGACTTACAGTGTGGGGACCACACCCTAGTATCGGGGTCAGAGATGGATGGGACTTACAGTGTGGGGACCACACCCTAGTATCGGGGTCAGAGATGGAGGGGACTTACAGTGTGGTGACCACACCCTAGTATCGGGGTCAGAGATGGATGGGACTTACAGTGTGGTGACCACACCCTAGTATCGGGGTCAGAGATGTATGGGACTTACAGTGTGGGGACCACACCCTAGTATCGGGGTCAGATCTGGATGGGACTTACAGTGTGGTGACCACACCCTAGTATCGGGGTCAGAGATGGATGGGACTTACAGTGTGGTGACCACACCCTAGTATCGGGGTCAGAGATGGATGGGACTTACAGTGTGGGTGACCACACCCCTAGTATCGGGGTCAGAGATGGATGGGACTTACAGTGTGGTTACACACACCCTAGTATCGGGGTCAGAGATGTATGGGACTTACAGTGTGGGGACCACACCCTAGTATCGGGGTCAGATCTGGATGGGACTTACAGTGTGGTGACCACACCCTAGTATCGGGGTCAGAGATGGATGGGACTTACAGTGTGGTGACCACACCCTAGTATCGGGGTCAGAGATGGATGGGACTTACAGTGTGGTGACCACACCCTAGTATCGGGGTCAGAGATGGATGGGACTTACAGTGTGGTGACCACACCCTAGTATCGGGGTCAGAGATGTATGGGACTTACAGTGTGGGGACCACACCCTAGTATCGGGGTCAGATCTGGATGGGACTTACAGTGTGGGGACCACACCCCTAGTATCGGGGTCAGAGATGTATGGGACTTACAGTGTGGGGACCACACCCTAGTATCGGGTCAGATCTGGATGGGACTTACAGTGTGGTGACCACACCCTAGTATCGGGGTCAGAGATGTATGGGACTTACAGTGTGGGGACCACACCCTAGTATCGGGGTCAGATCTGGATGGGACTTACAGTGTGGGGACCACACCCTAGTATCGGGGTCAGATCTGGATGGGACTTACAGTGTGGGGACCACACCCTAGTATCGGGGTCAGAGATGGAGGGGTGAGTTGGGGGATTTCTCATATTAATCATGCATTCATACATGTATTTTACTAAATTTCAGGTTTATAACTCGCTGTTCTGCACCTGTATCTATGTATAGTGACCAAATATTTTTTGCAATTCATACTTTTAGGCATCCGAGTGATGGTGTTTAAGGCTTTAGTGAACAATGTTTTACGGAGTGTCATTCGTGTCCGATAACGAGAATCAAGACAAAACTGGGATTCGAACCTGCGCTATCAGTAAACACCTGACAAACGTCATTCTGCACAGTGAATTGCGGCGCCACAGACGAACTGACCATCCGAGCACGTCATTGGACCTATTACGAATTATTTGGTCGATATAGACTCAATGTATAACAATGCTGATATTTCAAATTGACCACAAAGTTACATAACTATGTTTCAATCTTTCGGTACTAATTAACCAATAATGACGTTCCGACAGACACTGTAATTATAATAATAATAATATTAATAATAATAATATTTATATTGCGCGTTTATCCATGCACATTGCATGCTCAAAGCGCTGACATATTACCCCTGGTCAACGAGTACAGAACACTCCATGTGGAGAATACAACCGGTCGCCTGTCAGGCGCTCGAGGTTCAAATTCAGACTACCATCGTATCATACCAGGTACCTAATTTTACTGCTGGGTGGACAGAGGCAATTTTGAACAAACTCACTTGCCTAAGGTGAGACCACATGCGTCACATGTGCTTCGTTCATTCGTTCATTCGTACATTGGATTTGGTTGATGCGTACATGTTAAACCGAAATACAGCGTAGAATGGACTTGACACAAAGTAGACATGGGGGAACCAAACCTGGGCCTTATGCGTGACTAGCGAACGCTTTAACAACTAGGCTAAGCTACCCCTCCATCATAGATGTTTGACGCCATGACGAGAGCCAGTCGTGGAGCGAGTGCATATTTGTTTAACAAATGAATGACGTGGAATGCGTCTTTCATTTATTAATTTGGGAAAGAAACTTTGACTTCTTTGAGGGGCATCTTAGAAGTTGGGAAGCATAACATTGACAAACTTCATGGATAACGGCTTCTTTTATTTCTTGAGTGCGACGGTTCCTGCTTGACACGGTACAAGAATCTGTATCGATACGTCGCACTCACGAAATGAAAAAGTTGTTATCTATAATCCTTGTCAATAAAGAAACTGTGTGCCAGTTCAGAAGTTTAAGATATTTGGTGACCATTCTACGTTCGTCGTTACAGCATGCACAAGGAGGACCACAGACGCAGCGACAGAGTGACGTTTCACGCCATGGGGTTGAGCGGGGTGGACAGCGACACTTTCGAAGCAAGGAAGGACATGTATGTCAAAAATACACAGCTGTGGAAAATAAGAACTCTGAAAACCATCATGAAAGAGCTAGGACACGAACATGTACGTATTGATCTATCAACATTTACTTTTTAGCAGCCTACAATGTTGAGATCACTCCACGAAACTACATCTAGATGAAACCGCTACAGTGAAGAATAACGCAGTTTTGCTTCACTGCTATTTCAGCTTTTAAAGTTCCACTTATAGATACAGTGAAGGTATGCATAAATGAACGGATAGTTAAAGGCAAGTGGACTATTCCGTTGAGCATCTGTCCTGCTCACTCACATTCCATTCCTTTATAACATTCCTTTATAACATTCCATTATAATATTCAATTATAACATTATTTTATAACATTCCTTTATAACATTCCTTTCCCGTATAGTTAGCTGTGTAAATGCCGTAGACAGTTGTTGTGACCTACATGCAGAGTGAGTAATTAATAGGTCATACAGCTACATGTTTGTGTTATGGCCAACAAATAACTAACAATAATTTATGACTGGTGTATATTAGACGAATCAAGTGGTTTAATTAGACCACTTAACCCCCGTTAACCCCCTCCCAGCAGCTCATAACGAGTCCATTCAGCAATGGCTATAACTACTTGATTATTGCGAGATAATGACGGTAACGGTTTCTGTTTAACGCCACGCAGTACTGACACGTTAAGTGAATATGCAAGTTATATTTACACAGATATGTACGCAACAACCAGATACCACCTGTATTCAAACAAAACCAGATACCACCTGTATTCAAACAAAACCAGATACCACCTGTACTCAAACAAGATAACGCCAATAACTACAGGCATATATCACCTGTATTTACACGGGTCATATACCAGCTATTCACTTGGTCATATAACACCTACATGCCCACAGTCATATACCGCCTGTGTTTATGCAGTTACATACCACCTGTATTCACAAGTATATACCACCTGTGGTAACACAGCTCATACTGTCGGTATTCACAAGTATATACCACCTGTGGTAACACAGCTCATACTGTCGGTATTCACAAGTATATACCACCTGTGGTAACACAGCTCATACTGTCGGTATTCACAAGTATATACCACCTGTGGTAACACAGCTCATACTGTCGGTATTCACAATTATATACCACCTGTGGTAACACAGCTCATACTGTCGGTATTCACAAGTATATACCACCTGTGGTAACACAGCTCATACTGTCGGTATTCACAAGTATATACCACCTGTGGTAACACAGCTAATACTGTCGGTATTCACAAGTATATACCACCTGTGGTTTCACAGCTCATACTGTCGGCATTCACAAGTATATACCACCTTTGGTGACACAGCTCATAATGTTGGTATTCACAAGTATATGCCACCTGTGGTAACACAGCTCATACCGTCGGTATTCACAAGTATATATCACCTGTGGTAACACAGCTCATACTGTCGGTATTCACAAGTATATACCACCTGTGGTAACACAGCTCATACTGTCGGCATTCACAAGTATATACCACCTGTGGTAACACAGCTAATACTGTCGGTATTCACAAGTATATACCACCTGTGGTTTCACAGCTCATACTGTCGGCATTCACAAGTATATACCACCTTTGGTGACACAGCTCATAATGTTGGTATTCACAAGTATATACCACCTTTGGTAACACAGCTCATACTGTCGGTATTCACAAGTATATACCACCTGTGGTAACACAGCTCATACTGTCGGTATTCACAAGTATAATCCACCTGTGGTAACACAGCTCATACTGTCGGCATTCACAAGTATATACCACCTGTGGTAACACAGCTCATACTGTCGGTATTCACAAGTATATACCACCTGTGGTTTCACAGCTCATACTGTCGGCACTCACAAGTATATACCACCTTTGGTGACACAGCTCATACTGTCGGTATTCACAAGTATATACCACCTGTGGTAACACAGCTCATACTGTCGGCATTCACAAGTATATACCACCTGTGGTAACACAGCTAATACTGTCGGTATTCACAAGTATATACCACCTGTGGTTTCACAGCTCATACTGTCGGCATTCACAAGTATATACCACCTTTGGTGACACAGCTCATAATGTTGGTATTCACAAGTATATGCCACCTGTGGTAACACAGCTCATACTGTCGGTATTCACAAGTATATACCACCTGTGGTAACACAGCTCATACTGTCGGTATTCACAAGTATATACCACCTGTGGTAACACAGCTCATACTGTCGGCATTCACAAGTATATACCACCTGTGGTAACACAGCTCATACTGTCGGTATTCACAAGTATATACCACCTGTGGTAACACAGCTCATACTGTCGGCATTCACAAGTATATACCACCTTTGGTGACACAGCTCATAATGTTGGTATTCACAAGTATATACCACCTTTGGTAACACAGCTCATACCGTCGGTATTCACAAGTATATACCACCTGTGGTAACACAACTCATACTGTCGGTATTTACAATTATATACCACATGTGGTAACACAGCTCATACTGTCGGTATTCACAAGTATATACCACCTGTGGTAACACAGCTTATACTGTCGGCATTCACAAGTATATACCACCTGTGGTAACACAGCTAATACTGTCGGCATTCACAAGTATATACCACCTGTGGTAACACAGCTAATATTGTCGGTATTCACAAGTATATACCACCTGTGGTTTCACAGCTCATACTGTCGGTATTCACAAGTATATACCACCTGTGGTTTCACAGCTCATACTGTCGGTATTCACAAGTATATACCACCTTTGGTGACACAGCTCATAATGTTGGTATTCACAAGTATATACCACCTGTGGTAACACAGCTAATACTGTCGGTTTTCACAAGTACATACCACCTGTGGTTTCACAGCTTATACTGTTGGTATTCGCAAGTATATCCCAATTGTGTTTATACCCTTTGTAACAAACTGTATTCACACACAGTCTCACACATCGTGTATTTCCACCATCCTGTACAACCAGTGTTCACACAGTTGGATATCACCTGCATTCACAGTGTCATACATCGTGTATTTCCACCATCCTGTACAACCAATGTTCACACTGTTGGATATCACCTGCATTCACAGTGTCATACATCGTGTATTTCCACCATCATGTACAACCTGCGTTCACACAGTTGGATATCACCTGCATTCACAGTATCATACATCTTGCATTTCCACCATCCTGTACAACCTGTGTCCATACAGTTAGATATCACCAGTAGTCACAGTCTCATACATCCTGCAATGTCACAACAAAATGCTGCCGGCACTTACACAGTGACGACCATCTACCGTCCCATACCACCAGTGAGAATAACTTTTGGCAGAGAGCGCCTGAGTTTATACAGTCACTTGTCACATACAGTCTGAAAACTGAGTAGTTCACTATGTTTGTAGCCACTTCACAACTCACTCACTTTACATGGCATTCACTTTACATTACAATTAGACAGTTTACAATTCATAGTTGAGCCAGTACCTTGACCTTCGCTTTAAAATAAAGACATCGCCACTTTTCAAGACAGATATTTGCTTTACTATACGCTCATCGATACAATCTTATCAGTATGTCAGTATAGAATTGTGGCAGTACAAATTCAGAGGTAATATGATACAATAGCAGTGATTACAGCAATAGAGACAATGACGGTTATATTCATCTCTCGGCAGCAGCTTGGAAGAGAGGGCAAGGCAGAGAGTATGTGGGCTGTAATGAACATCACATACGATATCAGTCTTCTGGTTTATGATGTAATGGGAGATAAGAGGCAACAGTTAGCTGGAATTACATACCTCAGAAAACCATAGTAGAAATATTTTACAGAAAGGCAACTGATTCTTAAAGAAACGCCTTGCAGCACTTTCCTGATCTTGCTGCACTGTTATCAGCCTCACCGGAGATGTCTATAAGGTGTAACACAGCGGAAGTCTACACAGCACATCACTGTCACTCACTGAATACCACATGTACAATGTGGAACATTTGGAACATTGCTACAAAACAAATATCACTGCCACATAGCAAATATTGCCCACAACTCCCATTGTCCTGTTGACTACAATCATCAATACCAGTACAGTAATTCTGTTTTTGCATCAAATGGTTTATTTGAACAAATATCAACAATAAATAGCACCTAAAACCATTAACTGATAAAATCCTTTTCGTCTCAAATATTGGTTCTCATATATCCTTTTGAATGGCCTACTCTTCTCAGTAACACGAGTGTTGCTGTGGGTGTGCGGGTACTTGGGAGAGTGGGAGAGCAGGACAGGTCAGTTCGCTATATTTCCGTAACACGAGTGTTGCTGTGGGTGTGCGGGTACTTGGGAGAGTGGGAGAGCAGGACAGGTCAGTTCGCTATATCTCAGTAACACGAGTGTTGCTGTGGGTGTGCGGGTACTTGGGAGAGTGGGAGAGTGGGAGAGCAGGACAGGTCAGTTCGCTATATTTCCGTAACACGAGTGTTGCTGTGGGTGTGCTGGTACTTGGGAGAGTGGGAGAGCAGGACAGGTCAGTTCGCTATATTTCCGTAACACGAGTGTTGCTGTGGGTGTGCGGGTACTTGGGAGAGTGGGAGAGCAGGACAGGTCAGTTCGCTATATATCAGTAACACGAGTGTTGCTGTGGGTGTGCGGGTACTTGGGAGAGTGGGAGAGCAGGACAGGTCAGTTCGCTATATCTCAGTAACACGAGTGTTGCTGTGGGTGTGCGGGTACTTGGGAGAGTGGGAGAGCAGGACAGGTCAGTTCGCTATATTTCCGTAACACGAGTGTTGCTGTGGGTGTGCTGGTACTTGGGAGAGTGGGAGAGCAGGACAGGTCAGTTCGCTATATTTCCGTAACACGAGTGTTGCTGTGGGTGTGCTGGTACTTGGGAGAGTGGGAGAGCAGGACAGGTCAGTTCGCTATATTTCCGTCATTAGGCCACCTTCTCATGTATGTTACACATTTTAAAAAAGCATTAACAATACTTGAGCACCAATAGTTGTGTTGGAGGTATCAAAATGATTTTAGACATTCAAAAGTTTAGTACGCTTCTTCATACCAAGAAGCATGTATATGGCAAGGCTGTTCAAAACAGCTGAATTTTGTGACATGAATAATATTGACTTTTCGCAGAATTATTTAGGTAATATTACACATCTTAAATTGTCATAAATGGACATTCAACCATAAAATTATATTCATTTTCTGGTGTTGATACTATACATACAGGACACGGCCTTCTGAGACTGGTATGTTTTGCTTTCTACCTCCTTCAATCATTAATCCAGGATTACTATACTAAATTTACACAAATATATTCTGTATGCTTTCACCTTGCAGGAGAGTGGAGTAATAACTGAAACCATATAGTGATTGCAAAACGAAGACGTTGTTACACTTGATTCCTGGTATAGTGATGAAAGACGTGTTTGTGCCTTGTCAGTTTAACTATGCCACAAGAATTGTAAGGATGCCATGATACTCGTAGATGAAGTTTATTAAGTACTAATGGACAACACGCCTACACCGTGATACCCTCTGACTGTCCAATCAGAATCAACATAGGCTATCCACGTAAATAGCATAGAAAACCTTCAAAGAATTGTGTTCAAACATCAATCCTACTGCTCTTGGATTAACGACATACTTTTCTATTATTTCGAACGTGCATGAGTGGATCTATCGTGTGAGCTGCGTCCCTTGGGCACGCCAGAATGCTGTGATCGTGTAGTTGCATCCAGGTTCGACCCGATTATATCCCTATGTTCGTCAGTGAACTAGTAAACGACAAACACCTAAATCACTTGGTAGCATTCCTCCCACTGTAGGCTGGCAGGACATGATGCAGCTGGATTACTGTTTGAGGCTGCGTTAATCCCAAGTTGATCACTCACTCCGTTATATCCAACTATTACACAATTATACAGCCCTTATATACACTAAATTTATCAAATGTGTTATTTTACACACACTCACCACACTTCACACACATAATTTATCTCGGTTAGATGTTAATGCACGTGCTATATTTCACACATATTATACTTCAGTTGTATTACACGCACCTATATAGGTCCTGCACTGTCCATCTTCCTAATGAGAACATCAAAAATTCAGGATTCAGAAAGCGTATGCATTTATATAAATGTTCATATATGTGTAACTCTGTTTTGTACTGCCAGTTTATCGCAAGGTATTTGTAGCGATAGGATATTTCGAAATTGGGACGCAGAAGTTTACCAAGAAATCGGTTCCCACAGATAATAGGTATGAAATTGGTAAGAGGCCAAATAACGTCAATAAATAAATAGATCAATAAATGAATGAATGAACGAACGAACGAATAGATTAATAAATATATATAAAATTAGTTATCAGAGCCCCTTGTCATTGCTTGAATTACTAACACACTTTGAAGCTGGTAGAACTTTTTTTCAGGTAAGTAGGAAAACACTACTAGGCAAGTAGATAAGAAAAGATTCAGGTCACCTTAACGCGACCTCTTGTCGCCAAAGTGTTTGTATGTATTACAAGGCTTCCAGAAACTGTCCCATCCCTGGACCGTTCAAACTGTCCAACCTTCCATGGCCATGTATACAAGGGAGGTAACTCTTATTATATTGCGAAACGATTCTTGGACGCCCCACGTGCCGTTGTAGACTCGACTTCAAATATGGTCACGACAACACGTCGTTTTATTTAACATCAGTTGAATAATGGAGCCACTGGTATGTACTAAAAATGTATTCACACATAACACCACCTATTCTCTAATGTTAGGTTTTAAAATGTTTCTCTTGTATATTGTTTCAGAGAGTGCTGGATGTTTTGAAAATCGACGTAGAAGGACACGAGTGGGCGGTCGTGAAAAATATAATGGAAGATGGAATTTTCAAGAAAATTAGACAATTCTACTTAGAATGGCATCTTTTTCCTGACTGGCCAGCCAAAAGTTCATACGTTAGTTTATACCAGCTGTATACAAAGTTAACTCAGCTTGGGCTAACAGCCTTTAGGAAAAGCCCACATCCACACAACTTTAATCCACGTAGTTTCAATATACAAGGGGACAATAATTATATAAATCTCAATTTCACCAGTGTTGCATAACAGGACATTATGAAGTGCCGTGGCGGGAGGCTGTGCAAATGTCGATGAGATCCCATTTGGATTCCTGGCATCGAGCGTATTTGTTCATTTTCATTTTCCATCAATCGGTGACAGGACAACGATGAAATTACTCAATATTGCGTTGTATATTTATTTCTGCTTATGTGACTCCTCTGTGAAAGTATGGAGTTTCCTTGGGTTACGACGCAAACATGGATGCTCTACTAGCATGGCTCATATTGCCTCATGTTACCATCTCTTGATGCTTCTGTGGACATGACATATACACATTCCATGTTCCCACAAGTCCCAAGATGACGAGAGAGAGAGAGAGAGAGAGAGAGAGAGAGAGAGTTTCTTAAGCGTATGCAAGAAGTGTTGTGATATGGTTTCTGCTTGTTGAACGTGACTGCCTCCACAAATACATGTGACAATCATTAACGACTATTCACGGAGGAAAGGGTACAACGAAACGAAACCTAGGCAACACATCGATGGCATGTTAAAATATGTACTTTTTCTGGACAACAACCTCGTATTAATTGTTGGTTTTTGGTTTTTGTTTTCTGTTGTTTTATTTTGGGGATTTGGTTTTTTTGGGGGGTTTTTTTGGTTATTTTCCTTTACAACCTCTTCCAAATTCCATTTGACCAGGTCAAGACTTGTACACTCCATGGTCGGGCAAAAGCCGACAATGCCAGTACATACTAGCCCCGTATGTTAAAACTTACCCGGAAATAAATCCCCACAGGAAGAAAGCTTCACTGAAATAAAAGCCCCCTTACCCTAACGTATCATGTATCTACGCAGACATATTGTTTCAGTTTACTACAATGATTGAACAACACGACAATTCAATCATCAACACGAAAGTTGTGCAAACATCAAACATCAATAAGAATCTGGTCAATTCACCTGGCGTCTGGTGTACTGGGTGGTCCAAACATCAATTAGAATCTGGTCACTTCACCTGGCGTCTGGTGTACTGGGTGGTCCAAACATCAATTAGAATCTGGTCACTTAATCTGGTCACTTCACCTGGCGCCTGGTTTACTGGGTGGTCCAAACATCAATTAGAATCTGGTCACTTCACCTGGCGTCTGGTTTACTGGGTGGGGAACCAATACACATTTACTCGTATATGACTGACATTGAGTTACAAATTACAAAATGAACAGTAGAGTGTGACGTCAACAAAAGTCGAATAAAAAATACTACAAAATGCAGTGACTATCCAAAAGTCCCATAACAATCAAGTACTTGATATCAAATATTCCATCTCAAGCAGGTCGTACCGGTGCTTTCCGGTTCATTTTGACCTGATACCTTTCTTTCTCACATCATTATTAATCTTCAACAAATTCCATTGTTGTATCTATTAATGAAACGTACGTACATCCATGCGAAGTTAAGTCAGTTAACTAAAACATATCTGTATCTTTTCAATCAGTTATATTACTGTAAGAACTGTTTACCAATACATTGCACTTCAAGTTGTTGGTTTCTGTGAACCAGCAGCAAAGACTTTAAAGGCAGTTAGTGTATTTTCTAAAGCGGATACGGTGCCTACTTATATTTCTTTGATGGGCATGTTTGTGTACATGGTGTATGTATTCTAGCATGGCGTGTATCCTATCGGGATTATGTCTGAGAGGGTCGTGACCTATGAGAGAGTTGTCCCCCACACTTGTCCCTCCATTATGGACTCGGTGAAACCTGTTAATATTTGTTCTTCTGATTCAAACGATGTTCATTTTAGGAACGTGACTTTACATATAAGGATATAAGGTGTTAAAACTAGGAAACAATGCCACTGCATATTTCATCAGGTGTCATTGAATGATTTTGGACAACAATTTACAATTTGCAGGAACTTATCCAAGTTCATCCCAAATTATGAGCACTATGTATTCAGGTGTATGAACAAACGTGAGAGCAATGAGTCGACGCATGAGACATGTATGTGACGTTACATGGTTGCAATAGTCTTAAACAGCTGTAACATGGGATTGTAAGATACAGCTGCGTCGCGGAATCCTCTCGATCGATCGATCCCTATAGTCAGAAATTGTGTTTAGCATTAGATGTTAACAACTGTAAAATGACAATCGATGTTTTACATTCCACTCTAAGCCTTTAATAACATTTATTATCTAATCGTTTCATATCGTTTGCACATATACTCTTAAAAAATGTAGGGGAACTTCATTTTTTATTACGATTGAAAGAATTGGGAGATATATCGAAGTCAATCAATGTCCATAGGATAATAATGAATACTTTGCTCTTGTACTTCCTTATGACCATAATCGCTCTGGAAAGATGATTGGTGTATGACGTCAAATTTGCATGTGTACGATTGTGTACGTGTACACTAACAACGGTGTGATGCAAGATGATTGTCAAAGTTAATGGTCTACAGTAATTTCATCGATCTCCTTGAAAGTTCTCAAAATCAAGAATGATACTCATTGGGGCTACTGCGTTGCGCACGTGCATTCCATTAGTGTATGAAATAAGCCAAATACCCAGCCAGACATCAGGGCTGGTAACTTCAAAATGTTACATGTCAAAAATGCATTTAACCAGACCAGACACAAAGATATGACTCAATTGTATATAACATCTAATTGTTTTTACCAGACCATCGGGCTGGCTAGCTGTAAATCTAGACCGTCCGTCTGAAATCTAACCCGTCTCGGGCGGTCGGACGGGGATTATTTCATACACTGATTCCATGCATTGTGTTTAGGGGTTGTGATAAAGAGAAATGGTGGTGCGTTCATAAGATGTCTGTCTGTCAATCTAAATTGAATGTTCAGGTTCCCCTACTTTATTTGAAGAGTATAGACACGAACTGAGCCACTTCCAGGACACCTACACATTGTTTATCTCGCTGAGGGATACACATCACATTATGGTATTTCCACCCAGACATGAATTTGCAGTCTGAGTACACGCCATTCCAAGCGTATCCTTCCAAACATCTGAAAGTGACATTAAGATATTTGTTTGGTTACATATAGTTGAAGTGGCGTAAAAGTGCGGAGATTATTGCCGAATCGATCACCTGTCGTATGCTGTGCAGTTTTTGTTCATCGCCCATCCGATCTTCCTTTCACATGGTGTACAGTAGTTGGCAATTGTCCATATTATCTTCCTTTCACATGGTGTACAGTAGTTGGTCATTGTCCATATGATCTTCCTTTCACATGGTGTACAGTAGTTGGCCATTGTCCATGTTATCTTCCTTTCAGATGGTGTACAGTAGTTTGTCATTGCCCATCCAACCTTATGTATGCTAATATTATATATTATGACAGAATAAATTGTAGGTTCACGTATGGTGCCTAAGCATTTAAGATACGTGTGTCAAATTAGTCAGAAGATGTATGTTTGAAGAGTCTATCCAAAAGCATTTTTTCCAGAAACTACTTTAAAAAGATACTTTGAAATAAGGTTTTACAAAACAATAATTATTCACAGAAATAACAGGATTCCTATGTAATATGTATTTTTCCATCCTCCACAGAGTGCTTGTATAGCCCTCTCAGATTGTTGAATGATAGGCCATTATATATACCCTATGTCATTTCGGTCAGTGCTGACAGGCAGACCAAGTTGAGTGTAAAGGCCATTAAAGATAACGTTTTCTTCTTTAACGTGACATTAAAGGCGTTTACCTTGTGGTGAACAACGAATATTGTTGCCTCTTTTCGCCTATACCGTGTCATTTGATGTAAATATACATTGTTGAAGTATGAGGGTAGCGGAAACGCTTGTATGTAACTCGCATGTGAAGTAAATAAAGGTTCATTGACTTTAATGTTTTAAAATGTATTATGCCTACTTACGCTACTACGATTGTCCACAGCGTCCAAGGGGACAATAACCATGCAAAGTGATGACATCAAATCTTTGTTCCTCATTTGTCAATTGAGAATCGTACTTTATCAGGTAACCTATTTCTGTAAGAATTTTATCTTAAACATACGTTGATACACGCATATATGCATAAACGGATACACATATGCTCACAAAATATACACACAATGATATACACACACATCTACATACAAACACCAAAAGTACCATGTGCGTGCGAGTCACTGTACCATGTGCGTGCGTCATTATACCATGCTGGTACGTCGCTGTACCAGGAGTGTGCGTCTCTGTACCATGATCATGTGTCACTCTACCATGTGCATGCGTCGCTGTACCATAAGCGTGTCACTGTATCCTGAGTGTGTCACTGTATCCTGAGTGTGCCATTGTACCACGAGTGTATCACTGTACCCTGAGTGTGTCACTGTACCCTGAGTGTGTCATTGTACCACGAGTGTATCACTGTACCCTGAGTTTGTCACTGTACCCCGAGTGTGTCACTGTACCCCGAGTGTGTCACTGTACCCTGAGTGTGTCACTATAACCTGAATGTGTCATTGTACCCTGAGTGTGTCGATGTACCCTGATTGTGTCACTGTACATTGAGTGTGTCATTGTACCCTGAGTTGGTCACTGTACCCTGAGTTGGTCACTGTACCCTGAGTGTCTCACCGTAACATGAGTATGTCACCGTACCCTGAGTATGTCACTGTACCCCGAGTGTGTCACTGTAACCTGAGTATGTCACTGTACCCTGAGTGTTTCATTGTACGCTGAGTGTGTCACTGTACACTGAGTTTGTCACAGTACCCTGAGTTTGTCACAGTACCCTGAGTGTGTCACTGTACCCTGAGTATGTCACTGTACCCTTAGTGGGTCACTGTACCCTGAATTTGTCACTGTACCCTGAGTGTGTCAGTGTACCCTGAATGTGTCACTTTAACCTGAGTTTGTCACTGTACCCTGAGTGTGTCACTGTACCCTGAGTGTGTCACTGTACCCTGAGCGTGTCACTGTACCCTGAGTGTGTCACTGTATCCTGAGTGTGTCACTGTATCCTGAGTGGGTCAGTATCCTGAGTGGGTCACTGCACCCTGAGTGGGTCACTGTACCCCGAGTGTGTCATTGTACCCCGAGTGTATCACTGTACCCTGAGTGTGTCACTGTACCCTGAGTGTGTCATTGTACCCTGAGTGTGTCACTGTACCCTGAGTGTATCACTGTAACCTGAGTATGTCGCTGTACCCTGAGTGTGTCACTGTACCCCGAGTGTGTCACTGTACCCTGACTGTCATTGTACCCTGAGTATGTCACTGTACCCTGAGTGTGTCACTGTAACCTGAGTGTGTCACTTTACCCTGAGTGTCACTGTACCCTGAGTGTGTCATTGTACCCTGAGTGTTTCACTATACCCTGAGTGTGTCACTGTAACATGAGTGGGTCACTGTACCCTGGGTATGTCACTGTACCCTGAGTATGTCACTGTACCCTGAGTGTGTCATTGTACCCTGAGTGTGTCACTGTACCCTGAGTATGTCATCATCAAATGAGTTCTATTTCTATCTATTGGTTCTATTGAAAATGTAACAGAAAACCACGCTCTGCTACCATTGTTGCGCAGTGGAATTGAAAACTAAACTAACTAAAATTAAAGTACCGAAA